TCCATTGCAGCTATTTTGACATGGGCTAAGAGAAATGTTGGGTCAGTTACCTGGTTTGGGACCATAACATGTTAAAATGGGCGGGGGATATAGATGACTTTGTTGACTAAACGCTTGTTTAGTTATTGTTTCTTATAATTTGTTATTTGTTTGCATAAAAAAAACCCACAGAAACACACTCGTTTTACATTCCATTTTATATGGATGCGACCATGGTGGATCTTTTGTGGGTAAACAATGTATGCTTCTTCAAGAACATTCAACTCTTGACTCATTACATACAGAATTGCACATTTACTTGTGGTTACTTTACAGACAGCTGTCGGGAGGATATGTCATCTTTCTGATGTCTCTTGTTTTTCAAGTATTGCATATTATTATCAACTGTGTGTCATGGTGATGTAGCTGGTGATGAAACGATTGCAGTGCAGATTGTCTTTCTGTTATGATGCTGAGATACAGAAAATATTCAAATCTAAGATATGGAAAGATAGCTATGATTGTTAATATTAATGTGGTATAGTGTATATTTATGGGCAGGAAGTCCATGATCAAAATGTAAACATTGTATGGCCAAGCCCGAAGTGATCAACAGGGCACGTTTGCATCATAGATGTGCCGGGATTTCTTGTCTACCAGTTGTCCTACATGCTCGCCTGTTTCAACAAATAACTGCTGCTTTTTTCATATGAAATGACTAAGAGTCATGTGTGATTGCTCAAACTACCTGACCATGTGAATGATTTGCCTTAACCGTTTTTCAAAAGTGTGGCCACGACGTCGGTTTCAGATGTGGTAGCTCGGCCCCTGTTTCGATGTGCATGCAATACAAACATAATACCACTCTTGAAAACATCAACATAATTTCTAAAATGATGACAGCAATACCTTTTTGCATTTGGGTTAACCGCTTATGGATACGCTGTGCTGTAAAGTTTGATTTCGATTTGTTTTTCCTTTCATTGAAACTGTGATAATAGCGCTATGATTGGTTTGCTGAAATAGTATTTACCATGAGTCTAATGTACATGGTACATGCTGTACAAGATAATTGATAACCAATTGTATATATACTCTGATAATGGGATACATAGAAGAAATGTTATATTCCAAAGTAGAACTATTGATGGCTGTTAATACAGCTAAACATATTCATGAAACATGGAGAATATATCTGGACGACTGTTTTATTATTTGGTTCACAACAGTGAAAGATGGAATGTGACCAATGAGATTTCTTTTTTGGACGTGAAAGTTAAGCAAGGAGGCCAATTGAAAACAGATATTTACTACAAGCGGATGGACACGCATCAGTACCTACAATTCAATTCATGTCATCTGCGGCACACTAAAATTAATATTCCATATTTGATGGCAAGAAGAGGGTGTACTATTGTTTCGGATGTGGAGACAAGAAACTGAAGATTAGAAGAATTAAAGACATATCTCCAACTACAAGGATATCCATGTGGAGTGATTATAGACGCTGTAAATAAATCAATGAAAATTCCACGAGAAACATTAATGAAAACAAAAGAAACAGATACAGACACGGACATTCTTCCATTTGTGTGTACCTACAATCCTAGAAACTGTCAAATTATGCCCCTTATAAAAGCCAATCTTCCATTTCTACAGCAAAGTAAAACTATGAAAACATGTTTAATTAAGTGTAAATGCAGCACTAGACAGCCTAAAAATCTTAAACAAATTCTTTGTCCATCCAAATACTCACAAAATACAAAGACCGCCAGTGTAACACAGTGTAACACACCTCGATGTGGAACTTGCCCAATAATAATTGTAGACTGCAAATTTCAATTTTGCCAAGATAAACTATTTACTGTTAAAAACAACATGAACTGTCGCAGTAAAGATGTTATAAATGTTTTATCATGTGCGGGATGTGGTGAGCATTATATTGGAGAAACTGGTATGCAACTAAAAGACCGAATCACTGTACACAGACAACATATTGATCCAAATGTACGTTGTATAAATGTATGCAGTTGTCATTTTACTGTCTTTCCGTTTTATAAATTGTTTAATAATGACAAACTTTTACATATGAAAAAAGAACAGATGTTCATTAGGCTTTTGAAACCTAAACTTAATTCAAAAGTATAATTTTCAAAACTTCCCCATGTAGCCCAATGTGTATTTGTGCACTCACACCATAACGTATTCATGCCTCCTGCTATTATCACTAGCTGTGACGTCATATGCTTTATGACGTCAAAAGCATAACGTTGACTGTGGCCTAGGACTCCGTTTTACTTCTCCCTCTATTGTCACTGTTTCGTCATAGGCATTATGAAGCCACAAATACTTGTGTTGTGCGTCGCCACAATGTAAGTTAAAGTTTTCATTACACCTGAAGAGCCGTTGAACGGCGAAAGATCTTATGTGGATAAAGGAGTTTTGACAAGCACGAATATCTGGACTCTGTTTTTTTATATATTTAATACTTATACACCTGATGAAATAAGTATATATATATATATATTATGAGTCTCTGTAAATTGAATAATATAGCATCATAACACGACAGCTCGTATTTCCATCATTCTGCTACAGATATTAGATTTTCAGATCATTGAAAGCCTTAGTAAGAAATAGAATTTATAAAAAAAAATCTCGTCTAAGAGCAAACTGAATCCATTCTTGTGGTTCTTTTTTTTTAAGAATTTCAAAATGTGTGTTCCCCCAAAGCTGTAGTTTAGCTAGGCCTAAAAAAGGAAAGACATATAATAACTGAAATCCATTTATAATAAAGATTTTGCTAGTTATATTTTCGAAGTTCAATACCAAGAATATCTTTTTCCTTTTATGACAAATAAGTCCATTACTTTCATTGACCTACGATCATTATATCTACTTCAAACTTTTCCTTTTGTAGAATGTGATGAAAAAGGAAACTGTACTGGAAAAAAACTATCACTTTTGTCCTTGAATGTACATGTACATACCTAGGTGTAAATACACTTCTAAAGTGTTTTTTATAAAACAATATAAAAGAAAAAGTTGTGTTTCATGGACTGGCCGTAAAAGCATATTTTGAGCAAAGGTCTTAGTGAGGCGAAATACAAGCTGAGATGAGGATGTATGTTTTCTAGTGGTCATAGTGAAACAAAATTTTGGGCACATGAACTGTATATACATTGAACACTACATTTATTCAAAGTACATTTGTAATTCATATTTTCATAATTTTCTCTTTCACTTAATCTAGATATTACTTATAATTCTTATGAAACTTCTACCTCTATTACATATCTGCCATAAATCCTGTATTTTGGCTTCAATCACACTAACTAAAACTTTTAGATTTTCAACAGACGTCCTCTTCACTGTCAATTACACACAATTAGTTGCCGCCAATTAGTCTCATAACTACTGTGATGTCACAATGGCGGACATGTCACTTTTTTCCCTCATCTCCTACTAGAGGTAGATGAATTGGGGAGGTGGGAGGGAGGCTGAATAACCCATGCGGTTCAACTGTGAACTTCTTTCAAGTTATCATTTTCTTGTATTAAATATTGCCTACACTACACTTATTAAGAAATAATAATGATGTCCGATATTGAGCGATGTCAATTTGACTATTGTTAGGTCTTAGTAGAGCTCTTTCACATTTTGTCCTTTGAAAATGTCTGATGTCAATTACCCCGAAGTTATTTTTATCACTAATGAAAGAGCACGGACACTGAAACCTACAGGGACGTAACTGGGATTTCTTCAAAATATACATTCCTAACTGTCATTCATATTGTAACATAATCTTTGAAACAGTCTGCTTATGAACCAATCACGACCACTTCCGTCAATCTTGTTTTGACGTCGAAAACACTCAAACTTTCATCGTGATTTTTTGTTAGTAAATACAGAGACCATATAATAGATGGTCTCTGGTAAATATAAATTACAGAAAATTCTCCATGAATTTGTACTTCAACATAAATGTCAAATGTCTGTCACCGTTAGGATATCATCTTCCCAAGGAAAGAGAGTTAACTGACTTTAAACGTCCAGTTTCCACTTTTATAGTCTGTTAACTTGCTTGCCTTGGGAAGATGTTGGGATATGTACTTTCCAGTGATCTGAATTATTTGACATTTAGATTTCAAACAAGGGCGCTTACTTGACTTTACTTGGCACATATGGGTGCTTCCATATTACGATTAAGGTAGAAAAGTAGGAAACTTACAATACCAGCACTTTTATCAATGGCTAGGCAGTGCATAGATCTTTTGGATTTGTTGACTTTAGATACTGTTTGAAAGACAATCAACTCAAGTTGCATGTTATACAAGTTGGTTATACTGTGTGAAGAAATATGAATGTTGTAACACTTTTGATACAATGTACATACATTTTTGAAACCGCGACGTCATCACAGTGCAGCACTGAGCGGTATGCAAAGCCAGCTGACGGCCAGGCACCATGAGGGTTAATCTCTAAAACAACACTAATGTCAGGCCCTCAAAGCATACACACAGATTTTATCTCAAACAAATTCAGAACTTGGTAGTTGATGTATATACTATTTCTGTGTTATGTTGATTCTATTTGGATGTGTATCTTGATGCCCTTTTGTTGATGGGAACCTGTCAGATATGAGGCTGTGTCACCAACAGACCTAATGTGATAATAATCTTTAATAAGTGTAGAAAGTGTATTCAAGTTATTATAGCACCAACTAATGCATTTATTCAACCTTTAGGAGCATTATAGGATATTAGTGTCTAGTATTTTACCAGTTGTTTTAGTTGATCAGTCAAGTTATTCTTGTGCTGTCATGTCAACAGTGTAGTGTACCAGGCATGGTATATGTAATGCTTAAATAGCACTCTATTGATAAGTGTCTGTATCAAGTTCTTGTTTCAAACAGGTTTTTAGGATGATCATAATGTTTCAGTATATGGTTATCATTGTCATTTCTTTCTATGATTAGCCTTCAGTGAGCAGTGAAAAATATATCTACTTTGATATTGCAGGTTCCATATGCTGAAGTGGGTTCCAAGACTCTGACCTTTGCTGTCTATGACTTTGATCGCTTCTCTAAACATGACCAGATAGGCCAGGTCCTTGTGCCACTTAATTCCATCGACCTGGGTCGTGTGGTGGAGGAATGGAGGGACCTCACCAGTCCAGACAATGATGCTGAGAAGGTACACAGAGTGTCCACTACCATGTTATGGAAAGAACAAGCATTTAGATGTTCAACTGTTGTCTAGACTGTTAAATGTACTCTAAATCTAATCTTTTAGCAAGAAACAGCTGTAGCAGGTGAGGAGAGGTTGAACACCTCTGTCCTGGTTACATATGGGCTACACCTGTGAAGATCCGGGGTAGAATAGGTCTTCACCAACCCATGCTTGCCGTAATAGGCGACTAACAGGATCAGGTGGTCAGGCTCGCTGACTTGGTTGATGCATGTCATCGTATCCCAATTGCGTGGACCGATGCTCATAATATTAATCACTGGATTGTCTGGTCCAGACTCGATTATTTACAGACCGCCGTCATATAGCAGGAATATTGCTGAGTGCGGCGTTAAACAACAAACCAACCCACCAACTTAATATGGGCTAAGACCGCCTGCATGGTCTAGTGGTAGTGTGTCCGCATGGGGAGTGGAAGGTCAGGGGTTTGATCCCTGGCCATGTCATACCAAAAGATGTTAAAAAGATGGTACCTGCCTGGTAATCGGCGTTAAGGGGCTAAAACAAGGACTGGTCAGTTTGGAGTCAGTATACTGTGTCTGAGTGGGATTTTCATGTTAAACTATGGCATGGTATCTCAGTGGGCTAGCACTATAAAATTGGCATTTGTCCGGACGAGTACAAACAGTCACACACACCAGCACATGTGCATGCATTTCGCTATATAAGTGCAATAATCCTGGACGCCACATTGAATCCCATTTCACCTCACCTACATATGGGCTAAAGGGTTATTAGAGTGTTATCTTGTTTCATTCCAGTCAAAGCTATGTGAGCAAAAAGTCTTGTGCCTGTTGTGTCTTTTGTTCATATGACTGACTCACTGAAAATTATTCTCCCATTAGACAGGCTTATACCAGCAAGCATTCCATCCATTTTCTGTGGCAAGATATTTCAATATACAGTACTAACCAACATTTTGAAAGCAATACATCACCAAGTGACACTGAAAATAATTCATCCAAATATTCTACCTCTATTACATCATTGCCATAAATTCTGTGTTTTGGCTCTAATCCCACCTGAAACTTTTCACTGTCAACTATACAATCAGTTGTCCATGCCATAGCACTTTAGCAGCCTACAGCTCTTCTGTGCATAAAGGCGGGAAAACATCACTTCTTTCCTGTGTGCGCAAGAGTCAACACTTCGACATATTTCTCTAGCACTAACCTTTTCTATTGCAAGAAATATGTCATGCCTAAACAGAACAACTTACCTACCTTTCCATAAGAGATGGACTCTGACGGTGACTAGAGGTGACATTATTTCACAGCCCTTGACTCTGTGATGTAATTTTTAATACTTCATAATACTACAAGTATTCTCATGTTTTTTTCACTCAAACGATAAACTAGTGAAATGTTCAGACAAAAGTGCAGTATATCTACAATTTTGAGTGAAACAATGTCCATTTTATTAAAATACGACTTTGGAGGTTGGTTGGTGTTGCTAGAGAAATTAGCTTTCAATATATCATTTGTTATATTATTGGGGGATTACCACAGAAGTCAGTGAATAGTGTACATCATTGAAAAGACAATGTAATAAAGCTTTCATATGATATATTACATGACCATGTTGAAGAACTAAAGTGCAGTATATCTACAATTTTGAATGAAAATATGTCCATTTCAATTAATATCTAAATTTGGGTATGGGTTGAAGTCATGAGAGAAATTGGATTTCAATATTTCCTTTTTTCATTGTTGGGGGTCAATTTACCACAGGAGTCAGTGAATAATGTACATCATTGAAAAGACAATGTAAAAATCTTTCATATGATATATTACATGACCATGTTGAAGAACTATATAAGATCTTGATTTTGAAAACATTGAAATCATTTGGCTTTATGAGTTTACTATTTTTGTGTTTTTAAGCATAGTTGCAATTATCCCCCTCATCCACTACAACAACATCATCTACCACCATATCTCAATAAGCAATTTTCGTCAAAATTGGTTTTGGGGGGTTGGGGTAACATTGTATACAATATCTCAACCCCTATGAAATATATTTTCATTTTGTTTTTTGTATAGGATAGTACAATGGTTAAGGCAGATTTTAATACCCAGTTATAGTGGTTTTATTGTCACAATTCAATGGAATTAGTGTTTTACCTTCTCACAAGATTTGAAAATGAAGTAAAACAACATAATTTTTACCAATGTTTCCAGTGACAATTAGAATAACAGTTAAATAAAACAAAATGTTTGCCTAATTCAGATAACCGAACATATTACCTGTAATCAAAGACATAATTTGGATAGTTTAATGACTTAATAAAATTGTTACAGCCAATTTCGTCAAATTATGCATTTTTCCTTCAATTTATGCAATTTTGACCCCCTGAAAATTCCTGCACACACTTGCAAGCTTACTACCCAATGAAAGTTGTGTACAGATACCTCCTTTATGCAATAGAAAAGGTTTAAGGTATACAGGAAAATGTGGGAACGAAAATCTAAACTAAGCCTCTTTTCCGCTGGTGGCCAACTGACTATCAGAGGCAGTCTACAACAACAGCCTCTACAGGCCTGGATAAACGGTCATCGGAACCTATCGTTGGACAACCTGGTTTCATTACCAATCACCTTCCAAGACCACCTCCTGTGTTGGATGCATCGACAGCATGTCATGACAGGCATCCCTCTCACCTTTTCCCTGCCGAAACATTGTCTCTTTACAGATGCCTCAGACTTGGGCTGGGGAGCCCATCTGGCAGATCTCCAGATACAGGGCTCATGGAAGGAGACAGGAGGATCTACACATCAACTTCAGGGAGATCAGGTCTATATTCTATACGATCCAGTATGGGAAAGATCTCATCAACTCCTCAGTTCTTATCGCCACAGACAACACCACAGGAGTGGTGTATATTCAGAAACAGGGAGGAACCAAGTCAAGTTCTCTGATGATGGAAACATCGGGTTTTTTTCTACTTGGCTGACTCATATAACTGCCGAATGGAAGAGAGATATTGCAGGGAAGTTGAACATCCTCACGGACAGCATGTCCAGACATGGGAGGATTGTTTCCACAGAATGGACTCTCCACCCAGGCATCTTCTCCTGGATCACATTGATATGGGACACTCCGCACCTGGATCTGATTGTGACTTGTCTAAACCGTCAGCTCCCAGTCTACGCCAGTCTGCTAGCAGATCCGACAGCTCTGCAGATTGATGCTCTGTCCATGGACTGGACCAATCTATTCACGTTTCCTTTATGGTCTTGTCTAAACAAGGTGACCAAAAGAACTTGTTTTTCTAGACTCCTGGCCCTACTAATGGAAGATCCTATTCGAATACTGTTCCACAGAGATCCTCTCGCTTCTGCTACATTACTCCAATAATCAAAGAAAGCAGCCTTCTATTAGCCGTGGCTACAGCTGCCAGGGTCTCTGAGCTACACGCACTGGATTACTTGAGTCTCTCTCATACCCCTAACTGGTCTTCCATCACCTTACATTCCATCACCTTTGTAGCTTAGAACCATCAAATCAGAGCTCTAGCCACAAGTCTTGCCTCATGGACTTTAGTTTCCTAGGAAACAAGTGGTTTCAAACTGGAATCACTTTCACATCCTTTTACTTTGGATATTCAGCCTGATCTTAAGGGGATATACCCCTGAGTGGGGGGAGGGGTGCAAGAAATTTTCATCTACAGCTTCAGAAGGTGAGTTGTACACCTTTCTTCCACTGAGGATAGATCCCTAGAGAAACCATATATTATTACAGTTGAGTGAACTGGATGACCGGAAGTGACATCACAATCAGAAGTGACGTTTTTTAGACCGGTGTAAACCGGAAGATTTTCAAGTACTCTGAAAATGGTTCAAGACATAACATCTCCTGGGGATTTGAAACAGTTATGTGATTGGAGCACAAAAATAAAAGGTCATTACTGTTAACTATAAAGGGAGTGTACAAGAGGCAGAACCTGCCTTCCCTCTGGTATATTTGGCAGTGATGTAATAGAGGTAGAGTATTCGAACTGTAATTATCATTGTTAATAATTCTAAGAATACTCCAACCTCCCCAATTATCTGTCTCTGGTAGACTGATGTTTGGAACAAAGTGAGGTTTTGTCGCCTTTACGCACAGAAGAGCTGTAGGCTGCTAGAATGCTATGGCGGGTACAACTGATTGTATAGTTGACAGTGAAGAGTTGAAAACCTGAAAGTTTATGATGGTGTGATTGCAGCCAAAATACATGATGTATGGCAATGATGTAATAGAGGTAGTATTCTTAGAAATATAAACAATAATAACCATTGTTAGATGTTGGCATCTTCATTGTGGAACGATGTTCCAGTTGCATGTCCTGTGTGCTTAGTTCTTATTCAAGACCTTGTATCATTGACAGTTTAGAAATATACTGAACCAAATTAAAAACTTCACAATCCTAAAATTTTAACATTATTGTGTATTTAAGCAGTAATAGCCATGTATTGTCTTCAGATAACACCCGTTTTTGTGCAGGTGAATCGATCAAAATCATGTGCACAGCACTATAGTGGCAAAAGTGTTTTTTCACGTGCAACTGGTCACGTGGCCATAATACCGCATGTGTTTTCAGCCATACTTGTTAGCAGTTATTAACAAAAAAAGAAAAACACAAGAAAACAAAAGTCTTTACGGCCATTTGTCATGCCACACCTTTCAAATGTGCAACGTGAACGTGCCATTGGCATGTTGCACTCGGGAGCGTCCAAAGCTGAAGTCGCAAGGACGATGGGTTGTAGTTGACGGACTGTTTATGATTTACAGACGCGTCTACAGCAAACGGGTACCACCGTTGATCGCCCTCGGCCAGGTCGACCACATGTGACGTCACATGCAGAAGATCGTCAGATTGTCTTACGTCACCTCTGTAACCGATTTTTGACGGCTATATCAACCAGAAATGAACTGTTTAGAGGTAGACTGAGTGCGCAAACTGGTCGAAACCGTCTGAGAACTGCTCACCTTCAAGCACGACTGCCATACTGCGGGCCGATTCTGACTCAATTACACAGACGTCAACGTCAATTGTGGGCACAGCGACACTTACGATGGACTCAGAGGAATTGGAATCAAGTCGTCTTCAGTGATGAATCCCGATTTACTTCGATTTGCTGATGGTAGGGCGAGGGTGTGGAGGCGCCGTCATGAACGTTACGCCCAGTGTTGTGTGTAGGAAGTTGACAGATTTCAAGGCATAAGTGTCATGGTGTGGGGTGCTTTCTGTGGCAATGCACGTTCCAGGCTTCTTGTCATCCGTGGCAACCTCAACGCTGCTGCTTACCGCGACCAGGTACTGGCACCAGAACTTCTGCCTTTTATGGCAGCACATGGACCTGGTTTGATCTCCAACACAACAATGCCTGACCCCACACAGCAATTTTGACAAGGAATTTCCTTCAGAATGCGGGAGTCAACGTCATGGACTGGCCGTCAAGGTCTCCCGACCTCAATCCCATCGATCACGTCTGGGATGCTCTTGGCAGAAGTCTGCGCACTCTCCAGAACCAACCACAGAATTTGCAAGATCTTGGCACCATTTTGCAGCAACAATGGCGTCGTCTTCCCAATCATGTGTTCACAAGCATCACAAGGTCCATGCGGAGGCTTTGTGTGGCAGTTGTCAACGCACATGGTGGCCATACACGCTACTGAACTTGTGTGCCATCAGATTCTCGTGCTTGGGACTTATGATTTAAACTGTTGATGTTATTACCGAATACCGTAGGTGCTTGGAACAAATTATGGTTACCACCGTTAATTGAAATCCTTCTTTGGACATAAATGATTAAAAATTACCTTCTCTTATACATTTGTCCGTTGTATATCATATATTGGATTACTTTTAAAAATGTGAAGTTTTTAATTTGACTCAGTATATTTCTTTACCCTAAATTCTACCTTACATAACACTTGTAAGATTCAAAAATGCTTGTGCATACAAGCACATGTGTATTGGTTTGACCTGTGATCACCCAAAGTTTAAAACAGTTCAGGAGGCTGATTATATTTCACCTTTCAGGAAAATAAACTAGGGGACATCTGCTTCTCTCTACGTTATGTCCCAACGGCAGGCAAGCTCACCGTGGTCATTTTGGAGGCCAAGAACCTGAAGAAGATGGATGTTGGTGGTCTGTCAGGTGAGCCACACAACCTCTGAGCCAGGCTGGCTTACATGTGATTTTACTACAGGACTTGTATATTGCCATGGTGTTTTTCACCTTGCTGAGGATATTGCCAGGGATACTATGAAATTCCGTCTTCCTCTCAGAAACCTTTCTATGAAAACTGTTCTTTACACTATATTTAAAGATGAGGTACCACCTCCCTCCTGTAACATTATTTTACATTATATATGTGTTCCAAAGAAAATCCATATCCTATATCCTATGCACATCAAAGCCGGGTTCAAACGTAATTTCCAACCATAATACATTAGAGGCTGGTCTCGTGACCCTCATGTTATACCATGGGGTTCAGATATATGGAAAGCACTTGGAAATGTGCATTTGACAGTATCACTGAAATTTATCCAAACCACCAAAATAATGACTTTATAGCCATTTGAGGGGTTATGAAAAAAGGTAAATTTTCTTTGTGATTTTTTAAAGTGTCTCTCAGTAACCCCTTCAACTTATAGACCAATAATGAAAAACCCTTTACAGTATGGCATCTGCAGAAAGAGCAGTCCTTGGGATGAGTGGGTGGGATGGGACAGACAACCCCTTACAGTATGGCATCTGCAGAAAGAGCAGACCATGGGATGAATGGGTGGGATGGGACAGAAAACCCCTTACAGTATGGCATCTGCAGAAAGAGAAGAACCTGGGATGAATGGGTGGGATGGGACAGAAAACCACTTACAGTATGACATCTGCAGAAAGAGAAGAACCTGGGATGAGTGGGTAGGATGGGACAGAAAACCACTTACAGTATGGCATCTGCAGAAAGAGCAGACCATGGGATGAATGGGTGGGATGGGACAGAAAACTCTTTACAGTATGGCATCTGCAGAAAGAGAAGAACCTGGGACGAGTGGGTAGGATGGGACAGAAAACCCCTTACAGTATGGCATCTGCAGAAAGAGCAGACAATGGGATGAGTGGTTGGGATGGGGCAGAAAACCACTTACAGTATGGCATCTGCAGTAAGAGCAGACCATGGGATGAGTGGTTGGGATGGGGCAGAAAACCCCTTACAGTATGGCATCTGCAGAAAGAGCAGACACTGGGATGAGTGGTTGGGATGGGGCAGAAAACCCCTTACAGTATGGCATCTGCAGAAAGAGCAGACACTGGGATGAGTGGTTGGGATGGGGCAGAAAACCACTTACAGTATGGCATCTGCAGAAAGAGCAGACCATGGGATGAGTGGGTGGGATGGGACAGAAAACCCCTTACAGTATGGCATCTGCAGAAAGAGCAGACACTGGGATGAGTGGGTGGGATGGGACAGAAAACCACTTACAGTATGGCATCTGCAGAAAGAGCAGACCATGGGATGAGTGGGTGGGATGGGACAGAAAACCACTTACAGTATGGCATCTGCAGAAAGAGAAGAACCTGGGATGAGTGGGTAGGATGGGACAGAAAATCACTTTCAGTATAGCATCTGCAGAAAGAGCAGACCATGGGATGAGTGGGTGGGATGGGACAGAAAACCCCTTACAGTATGGCATCTGCAGAAAGAGAAGAACCTGGGACGAGTGGGTAGGATGGGACAGAAAACCCCTTACAGTATGGCATCTGCAGAAAGAGCAGACAATGGGATGAGTGGTTGGGATGGGGCAGAAAACCACTTACAGTATGGCATCTGCAGAAAGAGCAGACCATGGGATGAGTGGTTGGGATGGGGCAGAAAACCCCTTACAGTATGGCATCTGCAGAAAGAGCAGACACTGGGATGAGTGGTTGGGATGGGGCAGAAAACCCCTTACAGTATGGCATCTGCAGAAAGAGAAGACACTGGGATGAGTGGTTGGGATGGGGCAGAAAACCACTTACAGTATGGCATCTGCAGAAAGAGCAGACCATGGGATGAGTGGGTGGGATGGGACAGAAAACCCCTTACAGTATGGCATCTGCAGAAAGAGCAGACTATGGGATGAGTGGGTGGGATGGGACAGAAAACCACTTACAGTATGGCATCTGCAGAAAGAGCAGACCATGGGATGAGTGGGTGGGATGGGACAGAAAACCCCTTACAGTATGGCATCTGCAGAAAGAGAAGAACCTGGGATGAGTGGGTGGGATGGGACAGAAAACCACTTACAGTATGACATCTGCAGAAAGAGAAGAACCTGGGACGAGTGGGTAGGATGGGACAGAAAACCCCTTACAGTATGGCATCTGCAGAAAGAGCAGACAATGGGATAAGTGGTTGGGATGGGGCAGAAAACCCCTTACAGTATGGCATCTGCTGAAAGAGCAGACACTGGGATGAGTGGTTGGGATGGGGCAGAAAACCCCTTACAGTATGGCATCTGCAGAAAGAGCAGACACTGGGATGAGTGGTTTGGATGGGGCAGAAAACCCCTTACAGTATGGCATCTGCAGAAAGAGCAGACACTGGGATGAGTGGTTGGGATGGGGCAGAAAACCCCTTACAGTATGGCATCTGCAGAAAGAGCAGACACTGGGATGAGTGGTTGGGATGGGGCAGAAAACCCCTTACAGTATGGTATCCATAGAAAGAGCTGACCCTGGGATGGGTGGTTGGGATGGGACAGAGAGTGAAAAAAATTATTAAAAAGTGAAAAGAAGTCCATGTGCATACATTTAAGCTGGCCAAAGTGTGCGCAAAAATGTTTCCCAAGTTCCATATGTATATATTTTGGAGATCCTTATGGTATTTCAACTGTGACTGCGTACAAGAATCTAGTATTTTGACCTATTTCAAGGGATTCATCTGATACCAACCTAAATCCAAAAATATTTGTGGTAACCCCTTGTGTCCTGAGGATATACATGTATTGCCCCCAAAATGTTTTGATCTTCATTGTCATCTGTCCTGCAGTCTGCACAGGAAGATTTTGTGATGGCCTCTATATATTGTCATTCCATTTCTGAATCAGAGAATTGATTAGGATCTGGGTATGAATCAGTAACTGCTGTTACTTTTTTCTGTACCCTGGCAACATCTTACATATTTTTGATAGAATTAAAATACCAGATTGTTTTTGTATTATTTACGATTATTAAGGATTGTATGTATATTTTCTTCATTGTAAAGTAGGTATTTCAAAAGATCCTTTTCAAATGATCGCCTGACCACTTGTTTGCCCCATACAGTGTTCACCAGTGAGTATACTGTACCATGGACAAATATTGTACCATGGATACATGTGTTACCAGCAATAGAAATTGACACTACTTCTGTAATCCTTGCTAAACTGCCCAAGAGGTTAAGGTTTCATAAGGACTAGTAGAAATTTACAATTTTTAAGGGTTTTGAAAGTAAAGAAAAGTGAACTAAACCTGTTAGTTTCTATCGCTGGTTACAGTTAAGTTTCCCACTGACTTTAGGGTTACATAACATTGACTGAATTGACACTTTGAAAGGCTCTTGTAAAACTCTTACCTGTTGCCAACATTTTACTTAATGAAATATGAAATAATGTCAGATAGCATTCAGTTTTATCCATGTTTCGAAAAGCATTTGGCCCTTCAATTCTTTCCACCATGCAGTCATTTTGAGCATGTGATGTTACTAATGCCTTCTTTGTTCCGTAACAAGTGTTGGTTTCAGCTGCAGCCTGGATACTGTGGTATGACACATGCTTGAAATTGGTCATTAGTGTGATACTGTCAGATTGATAATTTTTTCTATTACAAATGTTGTACATATTCCAATATCATTGATCACTGCTAGAATGGAGCAGTTAGCCTGTGATATAGTGCAGGGTGCGGGTATGAGTGCATGCTGGAGAGATGTGGTATGTTGCCCTGATGTCTGGAGGAGACGGACACAGCCAGCAGCAGGACCATAACCATGTCAACCTTGTCTATTGCCAGATCCCTACGTGAAAATTGCTGTGTATCAGGGTACCAAACGTCTCAAGAAAAAGAAAACCACAATTAAGAAACGCACTTTGAACCCTTACTTCAATGAGTCATTCACTTTTGAAGTACCATTCGAACAAATCCAGGTATTTTCCTATGAAGAACTAGATTTTGCTGACCTTTTTTCCATTTTTGCCTTTGTACACTTGGTGCTAGGATCCATATATCAATGGTGCATACATTCAGCCATATTGCCAGCCGGGCCTCAGGTGAGGGACAAGCTGCAGTGGTAGACTCACTTCATCTGGTTGTCATGGCTATACTCATGTAGAGTTAGCTCCATATGCCTTTTGCCCTGAACTGCTGTTTAGCCAGGCCAGAAACCTCTCCCCGACACCAGCTGAAGGATGAGGACTGCACACTCCAGCATGACCCTCCTCTTTTCTTGCTGTCTTTTTTTAAAAATTTGCTTGTGCTTTGCAGAAATAACACCAACATTTTTTTCTCTCTCTCTTCCTTACCATCTTCAATCGTCTAGATCCTTATGTTAAGATCTCGCTGATGTCAAACGGCAAACGCATTAAGAAGAAAAAGACAACAATCAAGAAGTGTACACTCAACCCTTACTATAATGAATCATTTACATTTGAAGTGCCATTTGAGCAGATCCAGGTACTGTGGGTGGGGTGGGTGTGGTGACCCAGCTGCACCCCAATGTTTGATGTTGCACTAAAGTAGCTCTAGACTCTCCCTACATGTGCCTGTCTCAGAGCATACTCTCCCTGCAAGCCCACCCACAAACTCCCACTCTACTAACTCTGCGCCACCCACCATACTAAACTTACCTACTTAAAGTGCTCAGCATACAGAGAGCACAAATGACATGATACAGAATATACATATTTCACTTTGCCAGAAGTTATCAGAGATTCAGACTGTAAACACATAGATGTCTATACAACAGTGCAACTATTCATTAGTAGATTATGTTTTCAACAAAATTAACTATTTGTGTTAGAAAATGTACTTTTATTTCCTGTATTGCAAGTTTGCGTTTGGTATTATTGTATTGATAAGAGATAAACAAATAGAGATTCCATGTAATTTGCTGAGAGTGTATGCCCTTGGAAGTGTGTTGGTGTATGAGGCAGCCAGACCAGCACAGGGAGATGGGTGTGCTTGCAGGGAGCACAGTGTGTGTCTGGCCTATATGGATGTGTGGCACACCACAGACTACTAGATTTGCTGCCAGGAATGTGTCTACCATATACTGATAGAAATAGTGGATTATACTTCATATTTAGCTCCCAGACGCTACTGGCCCTTGTCTCATGGTACATACCAGAATTGATACTATCAAACTGTGCATATTTCAAGTAATCCTTCTGTCTTTATTTCAATGTAGTAAAAGCACAACAAACATTATCTGATGCTTATAAGAGCTCTATTAACGTTCACTTGGCTTAAAATCCTAACTATGCTAACCACCTCACATCCAGCCAAGTAAGCATAGCTGACACAATATGTTGATATAGAAAGCTATTTCCATCACTAATATATAAAGCACTTATCACATTGTCAGTGTCTGCTTTGGGAGGTAGACGCTTGCTCTGTATGAGTGTACATGTAACTACCTCTGGCAGTACACACTAGAGATGTAGTTTTCACTGAAGAGCTATATTACAGCAGCTAGGGAGCATGTAGCTAGTTGTACAACAGGCAGCAGCCACAGTAACCATGCATGACACCTGTCAATATATACAATGTTTTCACTAGCATGACTGCTCATACAAACAAAATGTGAAAGCCATTTTATATTTAATAAGAAAGTCCTTAGCTTAAGTCATATTCTATTTGTAATATATTAATTTATGTGATAATTCATAATTAATATCACCATAGTAATCTTATGTTAGTTGTAAGTTAAATATAAATCAAACTGAGTAAGATAATATAAGTTACTAACAATAGTGCAGATGTTATCTTTGTTACTAAGATGAGTGACAGGTGTTATTAAAAATGCTGCATATATAGCTACCTGAACAAATACGTTTGTTCTACCTCACTGAGGACGTATTTGCTACGGTATACAAGGGTTAGCTCACCCTGCCTAGCCTGTAGAACTAGCAACCCTCTGTGCTTTATTTGGTGCTTCATTGTCTAATGTGGCGTCAGCTATACTCATCAACAGCAATCTATTCCATCGCGTTACCTCTCATTATGTTGAATTTTCTTATCTAAATATGTTGACATCTCTGCTCTCATGCTTTCACCAGCTCCAGCCTTCCAAGACCTGGATTATAGTCATAAATGATATTATTTTTCATAAGAAGCATGTATTAAGATGTTGATACAGTTGCTCAAAGAAGTGGCATTAAGATCTGTAATGTATCGTTTGTACTATGTTTTACTGGTGTTGGCGCTGAGGGTCGGTACAGGTGATGTGTGAGATGTCTTCATTGTGCCTATCAAAGTGGACGTACAGTGCTGTGTGTCATGTGTCTATTCGGCCTAGCCAAAACTAGCTCATGTACATCTGTTGTCAAGCAGAACTGTCTTACAAACATGTATAGTTTCTTCTATATGTTTATGTGATGTACATCTTACAGCAGACAGTGACATGCAACAATAACTAGGGGAATGAAAGGTTCTAATGAACCGAGAAAAAGAATGTACAAAACTCTATTTTGTAGGTAGAGGAATTTTATGTTTAACCACATATTAAAGTGCTGATGAATAAACAAACCAATCAAGTGATGTAACCATCTCCAATATCATTTGGATTAGATTTGCTGAAACCATATGTATACCCTGATAAAAAAAAATGTGTTCTGTGGCAGATGGTTGAGATTGTGTAATGTATGAACGTTCGTATAGTGACCACACACACACACACACACACAGACAGACAGCCCTGTACGTACACACACACTCACACAGCCCAGTACACACACACACAGCCCTGTATGTACACACACAGACTCACACAGCCGTGTACACACACACACACAGCCCTGTATGCACACTCTCACACTCTCACACAGCCGTGTACACACACACTAACAGCCCTGTATGTACACACAGACTCACACAGCCGTGTACACACACACTCTCACACAGCCCTGTACACACAAACACACACTCTCACACAGCCCTGTACGCACACACACAGACACTAACAGCCCTGTATGTACACACACAGACTCACACAGCCGTGTACACACACACACACAGCCCTGTATGCACACTCTCACACAGCCGTGTACACACACACTAACAGCCCTGTATGTACACACAGACTCACACAGCCGTGTACACACACACTCTCACACAGCCCTGTACACACACACACACACTCTCACACAGCCCTGTACGCACACACACAGACACTAACAGCCCTGTATGTACACACACAGACTCACACAGCCCTGTACACACACTCGCACAGCCCTGTATGCACACACACACACACACACACACACAGAGCCCTGTATGAACACACTCACACAGCCCTGTACACACACACAAAACAAAAACACACACAGCCCTGTACACACACACTCTCACACAGCCCTGTACACACACACAGACACTAACAGCCCTGTATGCACACACACACTCTCACACAGCCCTGTATGCACACACACACACTAACAGCCCTGTATGTACACACACACTCACACAGCCCTGTACACACACACACAGCCCTGTACACACACACAGACACTAACAGCCCTGTATGTACACACACAGACTTACATACACACCACACACACAAAAAACACACACTGCCCTGTATGTACACACAGCCCTGTATGTGCACACACAGCCCTGTACACACACACACACAGCCCTGTACGTCCAGACACGTGTATGCCAGACAGTGTGGAAGCCTGATGTACCTGGCAACCACAAGATGTCTTGCTAGTTCACTGCTGACCACACTGCCACTTATAAGAGCATATTTGCATATTTGATCAGTAAGTCACAAGTAACTACTATGACAATATAATGTATCTACAACATAAGTGAAATTAATGATAATCTGAGACAGTGTGGTCAGCAGTGCTTTCTTAGTAGCTTCTCAGTCACATGTGGAACTCAGTCATCACAGAAACTATTAGTATAGTTGTCTATTTGGAGATGCTGCCTGAGTTTCCATACTGTTTTCGTGAGAACAATGTTTACTGTGCTTCATGTTACTGTAAATAACACAGGTCATGTCCACTACTAACCTATTGTCATCTTTCATTACTTTCATTCAATGAATAAAGTTTGTTCATAAGACATTCTTACTTATTAATAAGGCTCATGGTAAATTTTATTTTATTAAAGAATTCAATAAAAGATTTTTAAGCAAAATATGACAAAAATGATTAACATATTCTTACAAAATATAAAAATCTTTCTCCAAGTGTCAGATTCTAGTTTGTCAGTCATCTCAATGCACATCTCTGAATAGTATGTAAAACCAGTCTGTTTTCTTCTCATTGCAGAAAGTGACCCTGATAATCACAGTGGTTGATTACGACAGGATCGGTACCTCGGAGCCCATTGGTCGCATTATGCTTGGGTGCAACTCCACCGGCACAGAACTCCGTCACTGGAGTGACATGCTGGCCAACCCTCGCCGACCCATTGCGCAGTGGCACACGCTACAAGAAGTGCCCGAGAAGAATTAAAGCACCCCCACAAACGACACCATTGGCCAGCAGCAGCCATCTGTTTCAGCAGATTATGACTCCCTTACATCTGAGAGTCAAAGTGCTAGTCTATATCATGTTTCAGTGGCAACAACTCCCAATTCTATCAATTTTGTCGAGTCTACTGTGACATCAATATCAACATATTCGTCTGGTAAAGTAATGTGGTTCCTATTGTGTATCAGTAGTATACATACTTGGTTACATGCAGGCCAGTGCAACACCTGCAAACTCTTACTTGACAGTTTCCCCTGATTGACTAACCCAGCACTGATGGCCAGCTAGGGGAGTTGGTGGTGCGCAATGTGTCTGGGTGATGGTATTAGTTATATTTCTGACTAGATATCTCTCAGTCTTTAGTGTATATAACCAGATAGTTTCAGCCAAACTAGGACCCATGGTTGATGTAGCTTGATAACACATCATCAGTGTATTCGAGATAAGTTCAATAACTGTTTACAAATAGCAGGTCACAAAACTAAGAAAACCTTGACAAATCATGTGAAATCGAATCAAATTTTCATTGCAAGCTACATAAATGATTGTGTAGGGTATTACAGTTTGGCACAGGTTTTGTATTTGACATGATTTGTCCCAGACCAGGTGTACTTCCTTTCCTCAGTCTCTCAGTCAGCAGGGAAACAACCAACCCCACATGTAGTCCCAAGTCCACTAATTTAAAAATATACAAACACAAATCAAGCTTGTGAAGATCATCACTTTACCTCTGAGGCAAAACACTGCTCTGTGGCAATGTATACAGCGTTCTATGGCCATGTATACAGTGTTCAGTGGCAATGTATACTGTATATAGTGGTGTATGACAATGTATACAGCGTTCTATGGTCTACAGTAGTGTATGACAGTCACCAAGATCCAAACTTTCAAATATACCACTCAGCATGTTAACGTTTCCATCATGGATTATTTTTTGATTAGTGGACTTCTCCTTCGTTGTACATATAAATCCTGGTGTCTAATTAGACTGTTTCAACATGCTATTCTTGGTTCTTTGCTTTCGTTCTTCCCAAGTTGTTATTGCAGAGCTTTAGTTACATTTGTTCAAAAACTTATTGATCTAAAACATCTTGAATTTGTGCATTTATGGATCATATACATGTCCTATTATTCCTTTTCTGACCTTTAATCAGCTAATCTCTATTCTGGCCTGTCTAATAGTCAGCTAATCCCTGTTAAGTCTTGAAATGTTTTTAAAGCTCTGCCATTTAGAAATGTGATGTACTCACCTAGTGTCATCATTACATACAACGTGTGTGCACTCTTAATATGTCACTGTGATAAATGTATAATCTCGTTAAAGATGGTTGATATTTATGTATAGTAGAGAGATTATTATGTTTTGTTTTATTTCATTGGAGGGAAGGCAAAGGGGAATTCAAGAATTTAACTGCATTCAATGATACCTGGTTCAAAATTAAAATCAAATTTATATGTTATGAGATGGGCTTTGAGAACAAGATTGAAAGGATTGTTTTATTTCTCAGGAAATGTCTTAAAGTTTTGTGCTTTTATTGTGGCATTTAATCTACGTTTGTGTTGCCCTGTAGTAAGTGGTTGTTTATCTTTCACCTGTTGGTAGTCTTATCTTTGTCTTGTGCTTTTTCTGTTGTACTGAAAAAAAGATCATACACACTTCCTGTTAACATCACAAAAAATGAAAAAAACCCACATTGATCAGTATTCCAGTTTCATTTGACTTGAATGTTTTCAATCCACTTACAAGAAATTGCTATTACAAATGAGTTTGGTTCTTGTTTTCTTATACATTCCCCAATTTACTGAGAAAGACATTGTAATCTTTGCAAAATATTCTCATTACTTGAAAGGGAAATTCAGACAGCAATAAATTTCATGATATTGAAATGAAATATTTGAAGAATCTGTTTTTATGGTAAAAGTATGAATTACCTTCACGACACATGCTCAACAGACTTGATCTATTATCTATTGTATTACTGTCCTCATAAACATTTACAATTTTACAATCTGCATTTATTGTTGGACATTTTTCCAAAGAGTTTTAACTGTAATGTTGAGATTACTTTCTTTTATTTGTTTTTGAACGCCATATCATGATGTATAGTTGTCTTGTGCAACCTAGCTTCTATGTTGAAAATGTTGACACATTCCGAAACAAGCATTCCTTTCCTGGAAATGCATGTCAGTGGCTGGATATGCTGTACCTGTGGGGTAGAAATCCGCTATCACCAATGTCAACACACCACACACAACATTAGACAGATTACACACGTACAGCCAGTAGAGCTCCTTGCCACATTCGCCCCTACAAACACCTGGACATTCAACCACTGACATTAGCATCCCACAACTTACACCAGCTTGGCATATTTTTCTGTGTAAATAAGCAGTTCCCCTCTGTGCTTCTAATTTGCAATGATTTCATCACGATCCCTGTTAAAGCATTTTCCTTCTGATATCTTCATCCAGAATCTCTATCATCTGTCACAATACTGACGAAACATCAATGCAATGTTGATCACAAGGCTACAACAGTTTTAGGTATTTACCTTCAACGATACAGGCACCCACATGCCTGTCTATGTATTGGGTAAAGTAACTACAAGCCAAGGTCACATAAGCAGTTGCCCCATTCTAGGCCTCTGTACAAGGCAGTTTTAATTTATAGGTCTCTTTGGCAAACTGTGTACAGCAATTGTTGTATTTTTGGTCAAATAAAGCCAGGTACCCCATCAGACTATACTGTTGTCATTGGTTTGTTTCCTCTGGTACGAGGGCTGATTGATAAGAGCTGAACCTCACATAGAAAGACTTACCCCAAAGACAATTAAAAAGTTCAACGTATTCCTGTTCCACATTAATACACTTTTGCCAACGATGTAGGCGGCATTTTATCCCAGTTCCACTTGTTTAGTGGGTTCCAGCTGGAGCTTTCTTTGTGTGTGGGAAGAGGGAAGTCTGACGGAGCCAGAAAAGAACACTAAGGTGGGTGCTGAAGGAGTTAAAACCATGGCAATTGATTTGTGGACTGTCAAATTGCCCGGATGGAAGGGCACACCTTTTCTCAGCATCCCATGTCTCTTACCGGTAAACTTAATTTTGCCCCAATAGTGCACCTTAATATACTCTGTTTATTTTATTATTATTTTTAAATGATAGTTCACCATGTTGACATCCTTGGCATCGCAGAACACAGAGGCCATAACCTTTCCAGGTGATGTCAAAATGCTTCCAGTGTTTTCATTGTCAGTTGGACTAAGGCTGGAAGTGGTGAACCCAAGTTTCATCCCTAGCCTTAATCGTTGCAAGATCAGCTTCAACCAGCTAGACTATAACAAGATATGTCTTCATGATGGCATAGGAACGGACATCCTTCCCTAGTTTTGTACTCATATCTTCATGCAGGGCCTTTGGGATTTTTCTTCAAGTACTGGGTCGCTGCACATTTCTTAAGTTTGTCCATTTTCCAAAGGTCACAGATCCCTGCGAATTTTACTGTCTTGTCACAGTGAAATAATTTGCTAAATTGACTCAAGTTTTTGTGGATATACCTCTGTGACAACATGTAATGTCTACACCAACAAACAATTCACTATTAGACAATTACTTCTATGTTAGGGACACAACTTATCAATCAGCCCTCGTACATATAGGATATTCATAACAATTGTAAGTGTGGTACAGTGTTCAAATAAAGTCACAGGATCCTCTTGAATTTCTTGTCATTATAGGTAATAGATTCAGGTGCCTTTAGATTGGTAGGTACCATCCATAGACAATATTTTATCAGACATTCCTCTGTAACAGTGATTCATGAATTCAAAACAAGTATTTGTCACAAAGTGACGAAATGTCCCCCGCCGCCTTATGCGATATTTGTTTTTTTTCCAAATATTTTATTCCTTTTGAATAACATTATTTTCTGTGTTAGATACCTCCATGGAACTATTTGTCGTACTCCAAAAGCCAATATCATCAAACATGAAGGAATCCAGAAATTAGTTCTTGAGATACCGCAGCAACACTGTTTTCCATCTCGAATAACAGATTTCCCTGCTGTTATCTTGAAAATTAAGTTAAGGTCACCAAAATCAACTGGTGTCTGCGGAGTCTGTATATACACCATAGTACCAAATATGAAGACAATCCAGCTATTAGTTCTTGAGATATTGCGGTAACACTGTTTTCCAACTTCAAAAGCAGATTTGCCTGCTGTGACCTTAAAAATGGGGTTAAGGTCACCATAACCGACTGGTGTTTGCGGTGTCTGTATATACACCATAGTTCCAAATATGAAGACAATCCAGCGATTAGTTTTTGAGATATCGCGGCAACACCGTTTTCCAACTCCAAAAGCAGATTTGCCTGCTGTGACCTTGAAAATGGGGTCAAGATCACCATAACCGACTGGTGTCTGCAGAGTCTGTATATACACCATACTTCCAAATATGAAGACAATCCAGTATTTAGTTCTTGAGATATCGCGGCAACACCGTTTTCCGACTCCAAAAGCAGATTTGCCTGAGGTGACCTTGAAAATTGGGTCAAGGTCACCAAAACCGACTGGTGTCTGCGGAGTCTGTATATACACCATAGATCCAAATATGAAGACAATCCAGTGTTTAGTTCTTGAGATATCGCGGCAAGAAACAGGTGGGACGTACGGACGGTCGTGAATACTATGTCCCCCGCTTCGCGCTTTCGAGCGGCGGGGGACAATAATCTGGACAATTCACAGGTAAACATTATGCAAAATTGATTACCTTGAATGTAACCAGTGAGCAGCGATACCATGGCACCATTTTTATGATAGTTTCCATAATATTTTGAACCAATGAACCTACGATTTTCAAAGAAACTATATAAACCAGTTGATTTTAAAAGTGTCCATAACAATGAAAGAAAATAATAATTGAAAATTATAGCACAATAAGCCTTTTGGTGATGCTGTACCTTATATGTATTTTGTGAATAGTCATATTCAGAACTTACTATTCTTCTCAGAACAGCCACACTAAAATAAGAAACATGTTTAGAGTTGGATGACGTGTGCTAGATAACCCTTGTTTGTTTTTGGTATACTAAAGGCAATACAAGGATTCCAATGAAATAATATAATCAGTACTTACATCAGCCCATTCAAGGAGTCAAAATGAGCTTTATTCAAAATTGGTAAGTGAAAGTGGAGTATAGTTATCATAAGTAGCATGAGGCAACAATGAACCCTTGGTCAATGCTGCATGCCAAATTTGAGGATACTTCAACATACTTTGGGACTGTGTTCCTGAAACCTATCTTGCTTACCAGTGTATTTCATGCTTGTCCTGAAATATGGCAAGAAGAGCCATGTAGGGATTCAAAATAAGAAGCAAATACCTCCTGCTAGTTGTGAGACAACTGCCTGGGGTTTGGATGGTCAGACTGAGTGTATGTGACCATGCCCAACTTTATTTACCACTGGTTTGCCTAGACAAGAAGTTATTTACAGACTGCCATCATACATTTTAAATATAACTGACTGTGGCACAACAAAAAAGGAAAATGCTTTGAAACTCGAGATAATAATTTTATGTTTATGTCAAAGATATGCACTGGGTTTGATTGTACTATATTTTATAAACACATCATTGACACCACCATCAAGGCAAGATTACAAGATATTTAGGAGGAACAGATTGAAAAGTTGAAAGTCGAATGTATAGGTAATGAAATACATTATTCTGCTGATAAAGATAATGCCTTACATTGGTTGTCATGGGTTGAATGAACTGTACAGTAATATAATTTGTATCTTTATGTACATGATTTATATCTGACAGTATTAGGCTGTGTACACCCCTGTTAATGTTTAAGCCTCAAATCTTGAGCTAAGGACCTGTAAGTTGGGGCATGTACCAACAAATGAAACATTAATTTCATGTACATTTTTATTGTGCAGAAACTATGTGAAGTTACATTAAAAATTGACAATGCAGTTGATTTGCTAGGAATAGTCGTATTGGAATACACAGTTATGGTATGCCCCATTTGCCTTCACACTGACAATGCCCTTTGCTGGAAGGTCCTGATTCATATCTGGGATATCCCACAGCATGATGTATATCAGACTCTCCACCTTATTGTGCCTCTGTCCCCAGTCCGTCTCATAGTAGTAGCCATTCAGGGGGTCACTGTGATGCTTGTTCTCCCTGTCAGTCCACTCAACCTGCAAGGCACAATCATCAGTTAGTCATCTCCAACGTAGAAGTATAGTCAGAATCAGTCCACAGAGCAGTGGTCTCAGTGGCAGTCAGTCCACTACACATACAGCCCTGTGGTCTCAGTGTCAGTCCACTACACATACAGCGCAGTGGTCTCAGTGTCAGTCCACTCCACATACAGCGCAGTGGTCTCAGTGTCAGTCCACTACACATACAGCCCTGTGGTCTCAGTGTCAGTCCACTCCACATACAGCGCAGTGGTCTTAGTGTCAGTCCACTCCACATACAGTGCAGTGGTCTTAGTGTCAGTCCACAAAACATACAGCGCAGTGGTCTTAGTGTCAGTCCCCTCCACATACAGCGCAGTGGTCTTAGTGTCAGTCCACTACACATACAGCGCAGTGGTCTTAGTGTCAGTCCACTCCACATACAGCCCTGTGGTCTCAGTGTCAGTCCGCTCCACATACAGCGCAGTGGTCTTAGTGTCAGTCCACTCCACATACAGCGCAGTGGTCTCAGTGTCAGTCCACTCCACATACAGTGCAGTGGTCTTAGTGTCAGTCAACAAAACATACAGGGCAGTGGTCTCAGTGTCAGTCCACTCCACATACAGCGCAGTGGTCTTAGTGTCAGTCCACTCCACATACAGCCCTGTGGTCTCAGTGTCAGTCCACTCCACATACAGCGCAGTGGTCTTAGTGTCAGTCCACTACACATACAGCGCAGTGGTCTTAGTGTCAGTCCACTGCACATACAGTGCATTGGTCTCAGTGTCAGTCCACTCCACATACAGCCCTGTGGTCTCAGTGTCAGTCCACTCCACATACAGCGCAGTGGTCTTAGTGTCAGTCCACTACACATACAGCGCAGTGGTCTTAGTGTCAGTCCACTCCACATACAGCGCAGTGGTCTCAGTGTCAGTCCACTCCACATACAGCGCAGTGGTCTCAGTGTCAGTCCATTCCACATACAGCGCAGTGGTTTTAGTGTCAGTCCACACCACATACAGCGCAGTGGTCTTAGTGTCAGTCCACTCCACAAACAGCGCAGTGGTGTCAGTGTCAGTCCACTCCACATACAGCCATGTGGTCTCAGTGTCAGTCCACTACACATACAGCGCAGTGGTCTCAGTGTCAGTCCACTCCACATACAGTGCAGTGGTCTCAGTGTCAGTCCACTCCACATACAGCCCTGTGGTCTCAGTGTCAGTCCACTCCACATACAGCGCAGTGGTCTTAGTGTCAGTCCACAAAACATACAGTGCAGTGGTCTCAGTGTCAGTCCACTCCACATACAGCCCTGTGGTCTCAGTGTCAGTCCACTACACATACAGCGCAGTGGTTTTAGTGTCAGTCCACTCCACATACAGCGGGGTGGTCTCAGTGTCAGTCCACACCACATACAGCGCAGTGGTCTTAGTGTCAGTCCACTCCACATACAGCGCAGTGGTCTCAGTGTCAGTCCACTCCACATACAGCGCAGTGGTCTCAGTGTCAGTCCACTCCACATACAGTGCAGTGGTCTCAGTGTCAGTCCACTCCACATACAGCACAGTGGTCTTAGTGTCAGTCCACAAAACATACAGCACAGTGGTCTTAGTGTCAGTCCACTCCACATACAGCGCAGTGGTTTTATTGTCAGTCCACTACACATACAGCGCGGTGGTCTCAGTGTCAGTCCACACCACATACAGCGCAGTGGTCTTAGTGTCAGTCCACTCCACATACAGCGCAGTGGTCTCAGTGTCAGTCCACTCCACATACAGCGCAGTGGTCTCAGTGTCAGTCAGTCCACTCCACATACAGCGCAGTGGTCTCAGTGTCAGTCCACACCACATACAGCGCAGTGGTCTTAGTGTCAGTCCACTCCACAAACAGCGCAGTGGTGTCAGTGTCAGTCCACTCCACATACAGCCCTGTGGTCTTAGTGTCAGTCCACTACACATACAGCCCTGTGGTCTTAGTGTCAGTCCACTCCACATACAGCTCTGTGGTCTCAGTGTCAGCCCGCTCCACATACAGCCCTGTGGTCTTAGTGTCAGTCCACTCCACATACAGCCCTGTGGTCTTAGTGTCAGTCCACTCCACATACAGTGCAGTGGTCTTAGTGTCAGTCCACTACACATACAGCCCTGTGGTCTTAGTGTCAGTCCACAAAACATACAGCACAGTGGTCTTAGTGTCAGTCCACTCCACATACAGCGCAGTGGTTTTATCGTCAGTCCACTACACATACAGCGCGGTGGTCTCAGTGTCAGTCCACACCACATACAGCGCAGTGGTCTTAGTGTCAGTCCACTCCACATACAGCGCAGTGGTCTCAGTGTCAGTCCATTCCACATACAGCGCAGTGGTCTCAGTGTCAGTCCACTCCACATACAGCGCAGTGGTCTCAGTGTCAGTCAGTCCACTCCACATACAGCGCAGTGGTCTCAGTGTCAGTCCACACCACATACAGCGCAGTGGTCTTAGTGTCAGTCCACTCCACAAACAGCGCAGTGGTGTCAGTGTCAGTCCACTCCACATACAGCCCTGTGGTCTTAGTGTCAGTCCACTACACATACAGCCCTGTGGTCTTAGTGTCAGTCCACTCCACATACAGCTCTGTGGTCTCAGTGTCAGCCCGCTCCACATACAGCCCTGTGGTCTTAGTGTCAGTCCACTCCACATACAGCCCTGTGGTCTTAGTGTCAGTCCACACCACATACAGCGCAGTGGTCTTAGTGTCAGTCCACTCCACAAACAGCGCAGTGGTGTCAGTGTCAGTCCACTCCACATACAGCCCTGTGGTCTTAGTGTCAGTCCACTACACATACAGCCCTGTGGTCTTAGTGTCAGTCCACTCCACATACAGCTCTGTGGTCTCAGTGTCAGCCCGCTCCACATACAGCCCTGTGGTCTTAGTGTCAGTCCACTCCACATACAGCCCTGTGGTCTTAGTGTCAGTCCACTCCACATACAGTGCAGTGGTCTTAGTGTCAGTCCACTACACATACAGCCCTGTGGTCTTAGTGTCAGTCCACAAAACATACAGCCCTGTGGTCTTAGTGTCAGTCCACTACACATACAGCCCTGTGGTCTTAGTGTCAGTCCACTACACATACAGCACAGTGGTCTTAGTGTCAGTCCACTACACATACAGCCCTGTGGTCTTAGTGTCAGTCCACTACACATACAGCACAATGGTCTCAGTGTGAGTCCACTCCACATACAGCGCAGTGGTCTCAGTGTCAGTCCACTCCACATACAGCGCAGTGGTCTTAGTGTCTTCTAAAATTTGTAAAATGTGAATCGTTATGTACAAATATATGCTTAGAGCTAAAAAATTATTCATTTGTCAGTCTTTTCAAGAAAAACCCCCTGAAAATCAAGTCAACATTGAAATATATATGGTGGCCGACAGGGGACATCGCTTTCTCACTTTCTCGTGGTATAGCAATATTCCCTCTTGGCCACTATAGGGGTCGCATGTGTTATGTGTTTCTGTACTATAAAAAGTATATGCGTAAAATAACATTAATGAATTGTTAAACCTGACTTCAGTCGGAGCCGAGATTTTTCCAGTCACATTTTATTATACATATGGAGGGAATGTTAAAATTTTCTCACTATCCACTTAAACATAATTTAACTGTACAGACATAGGTGATTTTATAACAATCCACGGATTTCAGTGTAAAAAGTAATTGATTTATTTATTTAGGAGTTTTATGGGATACCCCGCCCCCAGGCCCAGTTATCAAAACAAACAGCAAATAACGCCGCTTATTAGCACTGAGTAGTGTACTTACTCAAAGACTATAGTGTTTTCCTAAAAACAACACTTAGGTTATACCAGTGTTTATTCTGTTTGCGGAGTAGATGTAATCAAACTGGAAGTCTTCACCCCAGCAATGGTAACACTACCGGATGTTCATTTTCACTTCTAGTGTTTGAATGACATAATGAGGAAATAGATAGTTGTTTGGTTTTATATTCAAGTTGGTATTTCTGCTATTCAAAGTGTGCAGTGAGGCCATCTTATTAACAGTCATTTCTGAGACATAAATGCAAAGTTTAATTAATTAAGTCCACTCTCATTTATTCGCATTTATAATTAACTCTAACGTATATTTCAAGATTTACGGTACATACTATTCAAAAGAAGTTATAGAACACTTGATCCTTTCATATGACTATGGTTAGTCATGACAGAAAGCGAGAAAGCGATATTTCCCATACTGCAGTACATTAAAACGTTTTTTTGCTGATATTCAGTGATCTATTCCTATGATTTTCATTATTTTGCCTCTTAATTAGAACATACACAGACAATGTGTCAGACACACAAACACATATACACACACATACATAATGTTGACAAAACTATACTTAAGATATACATAAAATATTAGAATAATAGCTAATTTAACAAATGTTATAGATAATCATAGTAATACACTTTATATTGTTAACTATGTGGCCACACTAATTAGGATGTCTCTCTTTATGTGTAGTTTACACAAGTACACATATCAACTGTGATAACGCCACAGCGAGGGGGGCAGTGGGGTAGCCTAGTGGTTAAAGTGTTCGCTCCTCACACCGAAGACCCAGTTCGATTCCCCACATGGGTACAATGTGTGAAGCCCATGTCTGGTGTTCGCCCGCCGTGATATTGCTGGATTATTTTTTAAAGCGACGTAAAACCATACTCACTTACTCACAGTGGTGTTCATCAAAATACTATATGCAAGTACATGTACCTGCAGATTTGCACAAGACAAAAAAAAACAATACAAGTTGATCATAAATCAAATGTCAAAAAGAATATTACTAAATACGGCCCATTTTACGCAGAAATCTGTGGATTGTTTTAAAATCACCTACGTCTGTACATTTAAACAATGTTTTAAGTAAACAGTGAGAAAAATTCACCATTCCCTCCCAATCAAAACAAATAACACAAGCGGCCTCCCTATAGTGGTCAAGGGGATATGGCTTTACCTCGAGAAAGCGATGTCCCCTCCCGGCCACCATAAATATTGGCGCCCCAATACCAGATAAACATGTCATGGCATTCAGCGTACTTCACTGCGGCATCCGGAATGCCACCTAACTGAGCTCAGATAAACATGTCATGGCATTCAGCGTACTTCACTGCGGCATCCGAAATACCATCTAACTGAGCTCTGCATCAGGCGTACCACAAGGGGCACCCCCCCCCCCCTTTTCAAAAAAGCTTTATCCGCCCATGCAATGGCAAATGCAATTCGAACTAGGTCAAAGGCGCTTTAAATCCATCTGCATGTTTTGTTCTTTCCATTTCGTGCTGGTAATGTATGTTACCGCTCGCTGTCAGCTGATTGCCGATCCTAACCAGTAACTACGTGATCAAAAGTCAATGATGAAGTTATGGACATTTCTTGAAAAGCGCATTTTTCATTTTTTGTCATTACTGTAAGTAATATTCCTCATCGCTGGAACAATCGCATTTAAATCGGATATTACTTCTTGCTACTCATCAACAAAGATCTGAGGACATCCCATTACGGGTCACGTCAGAACGACCTTTCGCGAACTTTGTCGGTACCAATGAAATGACAAGTAGTCGGCATTAGTCAATCAGAAAGCAGCTTTGTCGAGCTTTACAGCACTAGCTTCAAACTGGCGACTTCCATTTCAGACTAGGCTTGAAAAATATGTTTACAAAGTTTGAAATTGAAAACTGAAAAAAACCGTTCTGGAATGGCTAATATATGGTCGAGATTGTATGACAGTACTTACCGCGTACTGTGCAACGTCAGTAAAGATCCGGGATAGAATAGCTCTCCAGCAACCCATGCTTGCCGTAAAAGGCGACTATGCTTGTCGGAAGAGGCGACTAACGGGATCGGGTGGTCAGGCTCGCTGACTGGGTTGCATGTCATCGATCCTATTAGCGTGAATCGATGCTCATGATATCAATCACTGGATTGTCTGGTCCAGACACGATTATTTAAAGGCCGCCGTCGTTAAACAACAAACAAACAAATCAAAGGTGTATCCCATAGAAGCGAGAGATAGATGATGATTTTGACGTGAGAGGGTGATCTGCAGCGCTCGAAGGAGGCATCGACGACCCTTGCATAATGAGGTTGTGTGTTATTGTCCATGTGGATAGAGTCCGGGCCGATTGCACCAGCATACGGTCTCACATACACCTCCATAATGTCACTCGTCAGTGCCGTAGCCAGCCGGGGGGGGGGGGGGGGGGGGGGGCAGAAAATACAAGTTGGGGAGAAATATTTGCCCCCCTCTCTAGACACTATATCGATTTACCAGTGGTCCAGGTCTATCCGATTGGCGTGATCTTCAGCTCACGTGCCTGCCTGTGATGTCGGGTCAGTGGGATGTGAATGCAGACCCTCCGTGACCAGAGACCAGCCTCATGGAGATGACGATTACGCACTGTCTGAGTAAAAACGTTAACGCCACTGGCGTTCCCCAGGTGTGTGGCGGCAGTCACAAAGTGACAACACTTCACTGCAGTCAGGAGAAACCTGTCTTCCCGGTGTGGTGGAACGCTGTTGATCATCTGCATGATCCAAACGCCTCATACTGATTCCATGCCCAACTGATCACACTTTGGCGGACACTAAAACGTTTGCAACATGTCGTTGAGTTGACCCAGTTTCAAACATGCCTCGGTATCTGCCTCATTCTTTGGTCGTCAAACGACGTCTTTGACGGTGAGGAGGCATATTACGTGCATTCAGGTGTTGCAATCCTTCATAGCAAATGTTGTTGTACTCTCTGATAATGACGTGCAGTGATTCTGCCACGATACATACAAACACAGGTTTGCAAGCACCTCGTGCACATGTTGCCCATGACTGCATGCCTCTGCCCGTTCATACTGAACTTGAGGTCATATAGGGGTTATCGCAATCTGTGTTTGTTGGATGATTTTGTAACATCATCAAGACTTGATCCTTACCAAACTTTGAGTAGTAAATAATTATAGATGAATGCGCCCGGTCACAACAATTACAAATCACAATTACAAATCCCCATATATACCTCCATAAAGAGTGAGTGAGTATGGTTTTACTCTGTTTTTAGCAATATTCCAGCAATATCACGGCGGGGGACACCAGAAATGGACTTCACACATTGTACCCATGTCGGGAATCGATCCCGGGTCTTCGGCGTGACGAGCGAACGCTTTAACCACAAGGCTACCCGAACTACAAATGGTTTGTTTGTTTCTGTCAAAAAAGTTTGATTTTGAAAACGACACCGAAAATAAAGATATGTGATTGTTTTGCTAAAGAAACGATCCAAGATTATTTTTCATTTTGTTAAAGCAAACCATATTGCAATTAACTGTTTCAATATAATTACAAAGGGATCACTGCGGTTTGAAAAACCATGTAACCATTTCTGCGCACGCGTTAAAAGATAGAGGTACTTTTTTTGTTACCCTTTCTGGCGCTCGGCTCGGCTCGAGTCAGGATATTGTGTCTGAGTGGGGGGGTACTCAGGCTTAACTGCGACGTGGTTAAATCGGCATCAGTCCGGACAAGCCCATTTCACCTCATCTCACCACCCATTATGGAAAAGGGCAGCATCGCGATAATGCTTGGATTCCATATGAATGTTGGTCCGCAACTCAATTTATACGTATGAATTATAAGTCTAAATTGTTACATGCATTATATCAAAGGTTTCAAATTTCAGAGTAAGTTTACAAATACTTACAACGAAGCCTTGTGTCTCTCCCTCCAAGTTATAGCCAATAACGACCACGGATAGATTGTTCTTTGAATGGAAGGAACAGTTGGCAATGATTGGTCGTGATGAATCGTGACGTATTTCCGCTTCAAGACTACTCTTATACTGTTCTGTTGTGCACGTGAAGTCGGAATCCCAAGCAAATGATATAATCTTCTTCGGAGAAGCTCCCGCGGCAGTCAGTGCTCTGTCAATACGCGACTTCGTCGTCCTTTGCAGGAGTTCCCCCATCCCTGAAGCCATAGGATCAACCAGGAGACATGGGTCATCTCGGAGATACTCAAATGCTTCAATGTTGAGCCAGTACTCGAACTGATTCCCCTGTTGGTGGCTGAAATCTTGTATCTGGCCAAACTGCCGGAAAAGCTGCATTTGGGCGAAGTAAAATGAAAGAAAACTTTAGTGAATGAAAGTTTTTACTTAAATTTAAGATAACGTAAATATAACCGATATAAGTTACATACAGCCTTCGTGTATAGGATCTTTAGAGTACAGTATTTCCGTCATATAACGTATTGTAAGATACAAAAGTGTCGGATGCCGTTTTGATGAAAACTACGAATATAGTGCTAACAAGGATCATAGTTAGGGCGAATCTGGGATTTCAACCCATGATCATCGAATCCTGGTACGACTAAAGAACTCTGCGCAGTGAAATAGACGCCTTACACGACGTGCCCAATATCCTTGTATCTGCACCAGCACGTCTCCGTGCGGTAGAACTGGAGCTGAACCCCCCCTAAACATCGTGTATAAGACCTATACTATCTAAACCTGAACCTAGTGTATGAGACCTACACTATCTACACCTGCCCTCACCTGAACCTAGTGTATGAGACCTATACTATCTACACCTGCCCTCTCCTGATCCTCATGTATGAGACCTATACTATCTACACCTGCCCTCACCCGAACCAAGTGTATAAGACTACACTTTCTACACCTGCCCTCACCTGATCCTAGAGTATGAGACCTATACTATCTACACCTGCCCTCACCTAAACCCAGTGTATGAGACCTATACTATCTCACCTGCCCTCACCTGAACCTAGTGTATGAGACCTATACTATCTACACCTGCCCTCACCTGAACCTAGTGTATGAGACCTATACTATCTACACCTGCCCTCACCTGAACCTAGTGTATAAGACCTATACTATCTACACCTTCCCTAACCTAAACCTAGTGTATGAGACCTATACTATCTACACCTGCCCTCACCTGAACCTAGTGTATGAGACCGATACTATCTACACCTGCCCTCACCTGAACCTAGTGTATGAGACCTATACTATCTACACCTGCCCTCACCTGAACCTAGTGTATAAGACCTATACCATCTACACCTGAACCTAGTGTATGAGACCTATACTTTCTACACCTGCCCTCACCTGAACCTAGTGTATGAGACCTATACTATCTACACCTGCCCTCACCTGAACCTAGTGTATTAGACTACACTATCTACACCTGCCCTCACCTGAACCTAGTGTATGAGACCTATACTATCTACACCTGCCCTCACCTGAACCTAGTGTATGAGACCTATACTATCTACACCTGCCCTCACCTGAACCTAGTGTATGAGACCTATACTATCTATACATGCCCACACCTGAACCTAGAGTATGAGACCTAAACTATCTATACCTGCCCTCACCTGAACCTTCTGTATAAGACTACACTATCTACACCTGCCCTCACCTGAACCAAGTGTATGAGACCTATACTATCTACACCTGCCCTCACCTGAACCTAGTGTATGAGACCTATACTATCTACACCTGCCCTCACATGAACCTAGTGTATGAGACCTATACTTTCTACACCTGCCCTCACCTGAACCTAGTTTATGAGACCTATGCTATCTACACCTGCCCTGAACTCATCCTCATGTATAAGACCTATACTATCTACACCTGCCCTCACCTGAACCTAGTGTATAAGACTACACTATCTACACCTGCCCTCACCTGAACCTAGTGTATGAGACCTATACTATCTACACCTGCCCTGACCTGAACCTAGTGTATAAGACTACACTATCTACACCTGCCCTCACCTTAACCTAGTGTATGAGACCTATACTATCTACACCTGCCCTCACCTGAACCTTGTGTATGAGACCTATACTATCTATACCTGCCCCAACCTGACCCTAGTGTATGAGACCTATACTATCTACACCTGCCCTCACATGAACCTAGTGTATAAGACTACACTATTTACACCTGCCCTCACCTGAACCTAGTGTATGAGACCTATACTATCTACACCTGCCCTCAACTGAACCTCATGTATGAGACCTATATCATCTACACCTGCCCTCACCTGAACCTCATGTATGAGACCTATACTATCTACACCTGCCCTCACCTTAACCTAGTGTATAAGACTACACTATCTACACCTGCAATCACCTGAACCTAGTGTATGAGACCTATACTATCTACACCTGCCCTCACCTGAACCTAGTGTATAAGACTACACTATCTACACCTGCCCTCACCTGAACCTAGTTTATGAGACCTATACTATCTACACCTGCCCTCACCTGAACCTAGTGTATAAGACTACACTATCTACACCTGCCCTCACCTATACCTAGTGTATGAGACCTATACTATCTGCACCTGCCCTCACCTGATCCTCTTGTATGAGACCTATACTATCTACACCTGCCCTCACCTGAACCTAGTGTATGAGACCGATACTATCTACACCTGCCCTCACCTGAACCTAGTGTATGAGACCTATACTATCTACACCTGCCCTCACCTGAACCTAGTGTATGAGACCTATACTATCTACACCTGACCTCATCTGAACCTAGTGTATGAGACCTATACTATCTATACCTGCCCTCACCTGAACCTAGTGTATGAGACCTATACTATCTACACCTGCCCTCACCTGAACCTAGTGTATAAGACTACACTATCTACACCTGCCCTCACCTGAACCTAGTGTATGAGACCTATACTATCTATACCTGCCCTCACCTGAACCTAGTGTATAAGACTACACTATCTACACCTGTCCTCACCTGAACCTAGTGTTTGAGACCTATACTATCTACACCTGCCCTCACCTGAACCTAGTGTATGAGACCTATGCTATCTACACCTGCTCTCACCTGAACTTAGTGTATGAGACCTATACTATCTACACCTGCCCTCACCTGAACCTAGTGTATGAGACCTATACTATCTATACCTGCCCTCACCTGAACCTAGTGTATAAGAATACACTATCTACACCTGCCCTCACCTGAACCTTGTGTATGAGACCTATACTATCTACACCTGCCCTCACCTAAACCTAGTGTATAAGACTACACTATCTACACCTGCCCTCACCTGAACCTAGTGTATGAGACCTATACTATCTACACGTGCCCTCACCTGAACCTAGTGTATAAGATTACACTATCTACACCTGCCCTCACCTGAACCTAGTGTATGAGACCTATACTATCTACACCTGCCCTCACCTGAACCTAGTGTATGAGACCTATACTATCTACACCTGCCCTCATCTGAACCTAGTGTATGAGACCTATACTATCTATACCTGCCCTCACCTGAACCTAGTGTATAAGAATACACTATCTACACCTGCCCTCACCTGAACCTAGTGTATGAGACCTATACTATCTACACCTGCCCTCACCTGAACCTAGTGTATAAGACTACACTATCTACACCTGCCCTCACCTGAACCTAGTGTATAAGACTACACTATCTACACCTGCCCTCACCTATACCTAGTGTATGAGACCTATACTAGCTGCACCTGCCCTCACCTGATCCTCTTGTATGAGACCTATACTATCTACACCTGCCCTCACCTGAACCTAGTGTATAAGACCTATACTATCTACACCTGCTCTCACCTGAACCTAGTGTATGAGACCTATACTATCTACACCTGCCCTCATCTGAACCTAGTGTATGAGACCTATACTATCTATACCTGCCCTCACCTGAACCTAGTGTATAAGAATACACTATCTACACCTGCCCTCACCTGAACCTAGTGTATGAGACCTATACTATCTACACCTGCCCTCACCTGAACCTAGTGTATAAGACTACACTATCTACACCTGCCCTCACCTGAACCTAGTTTATGAGACCTATACTATCTACACCTGCCCTGACCTGAACCTAGTGTATGAGACTACACTATCTACACCTGCCCTCACCTGAACCTAGTGTATGAGACCTATACTATATACACCTGCCCTCACCTGAAACTAGTTTATGAGACCTATACTATCTATACCTGCCCCAACCTGAACCTAGTGTATGAGACCTATACTATCTACACCTGCCCTCACATGAACCTAGTGTATAAGACTACACTATCTACACCTGTCCACACCTGAACCTAGTGTATGAGACCTATACTATCTACACCTGCCCTGACCTGAAACTAGTGTATAAGACTACACTATCTACACCTGCCCTCACCTGAACCTAGTGTATGAGACCTATACTATCTACACCTGCCCTGACCTGAACCTAGTGTATAAGACTACACTATCTACACCTGCCCTCACCTGAACCTAGTGTATGAGACCTATACTATATACACCTGCCCTCACCTGAACCTAGTTTATGAGACCTATACTATCTATACCTGCCCCAACCTGAACCTAGTGTATGAGACCTATACTATCTACACCTGCCCTCACATGAACCTAGTGTATACGACTACACTATCTACACCTGCCCTCACCTGAACCTAGTTTATGAGACCTATACTATCTATACCTGCCCCAACCTGAACCTAGTGTATGAGACCTATACTATCTACACCTGCCCTCACATGAACCTAGTGTATAAGACTACACTATCTACACCTGCCCTCACCTGAACCTAGTGTATGAGACCTATACTATCTACTCCTGGCCACACCTGAACCTCATGTATGAGACCTATACCATCTACACCTGCCCTCACCTGAACCTCATGTATGAGACCTATGCTATCTACACCTGCTCTCACCAGAACCTAGTGTATGAGACCTATACTATCTACACCTGCCCTCATCTGAACCTAGTGTATGAGACCTATACTATCTATACCTGCCCTCACCTGAACCTAGTGTATAAGAATACACTATCTACACCTGCCCTCACCTGAACCTAGTGTATGAGTACTATACTATCTACACCAGCCCTCACCTGAACCTAGTGTATGAGACCTATACTATCTATACCTGCCCTCACCTGAACCTAGTTTATGAGACCTATACTATCTACACCTGCCCCAACCTGAACCTAGTGTATGAGACCTATACTATCTACACCTGCCCTCACATGAACCTAGTGTATAAGACTACACTATCTACACCTGCC